GGGGGGGGGGGGGGGGGGGCGATTTCCTCCAACCCATTGGTCGAGCAACTTTTGGTCTGAATTTGAGAGCTGAATTTGAGAGCTCGCATGCCGTTTTGGGGCCCCATACCCCAGTCGCACCCCCTTTGCTTGCCCCGAAAACATGCACAGCTCCTCGGTTTTCTGGCTCACCCGTTTGCGTCCGCTTGCACCCTCGGGCCACTTGTCCCTCAGCTTCGGATTCTCGGTGCGCGATGGCTTTTTCCAAAGTCAACCAAAGGGGAGCCGCCCCTTAAGTTAGACAACACCCGGTACGTCCATGTCCATCACAGCCAGATTTTTTCGAGTCAGAGTTCGAGGGAGATGCTGCGGAGAGAAAGCGAACAGGACGGTGCTTAGAAGACCTGCAGCAGAACCTGCCATGCACTGTACGGCACTGTAAGGCGTCTGCCGCATCGGCTTTAGTCGTCTTCTGGCGCTTCTCAAGCAACTCCGCCTGCAAAATTGCAAGGGTCCGAACGGCGGTAGCTTCCGAGATTCTGATCGCGTTGGCCACTTTTGAGTTGGTGCCCAGAAGATCCGCGTGCACAGCTGTCAGGCTGTGTCGAAAAAAACATGACGATATCTGGAATTTCAAGCCCGACGTCTCGTATCTGACATGATGCTGAACTTAACTACCAAACTACAGCAGGCCAAGGCCAAGCTCGACGCATCCCGTGGCATCTCGTATGCGTCTGAGATCGTGCCTGACTCGCGGCGCGGGCCTTTGAGTGAAACTCTCCTTGGCTGTGGACTCTTCGGGGTCTCTGAGTGGATTCACTATGATTCACATGAAGGGAACAGGACAGGACCCAGGCTCCCTATCGTGCCTAACAGAGCTACCACAGGAAGCAGGCAAGCATCGGTGCTTGAGTTGGTGAGCGTGTTTCTTGATGACGCCCTTCATAGTGGCTTGGATCTCCTGGCAGAACTGATTACATTGTACACTTGGGTGCAGGCTATAGGACGCTCATGGGCAATCAAGCCGCGCAGCTAGGTGGCTCTGCATGTCTTTGGCAGGTCGCTCTCCTCCATGTGAGCGTCGGGGTCCTTCTGCACAAGGGCTACCTTGCTGTCCGTATGGTCGGCATTCAGGTGCTCCTCTGACGGATTGAGAGCTTGAGGTCGTGGATGGGTAGTTAGACCGGCACACTGCGAACTGGGAACCGGTTGGAAAACTGCAGCTCTGCTCCGCGGGGATCCGGCAAAATGCGTCTAGAGTCTATAGGTTGCTGACACGATGCATTGCAGAACTCAGACATGCATGGCTTGGTTTTTTCGGCATGGCTTCTGCAAATGCTCCTGGAGGTGCTTCCTGAGGGATACGATCTCTGCCTGCTGCACTTCGGCAAGAGTCTCGAGCTGTGTGATCTTCAGCATCATAAATTCGAGAGTCCTGTCGAAGGGCCACTGTGCGGCTAGACTTCGGCGAGGAGCAGTAGGAAGCACGATAGATGAACTTAAACGACGGTATTCTTTGGTGAGACCGAAGGGAAAGCACAGATCTCTGACATGCAATTAACTAGAAAGGCTCCTTCCCAGGCCAGCCAGCCCTTCAGGCTCTTCGGCTTTGGTTGCATTCGCATCCTTGCCGGTCTCGTTTTCCGTCTGGTTCACTGCTGGGTCAGGGATGGCGTTCATCTGATTCATGTCGAAGGCCAGGTTTTTGGCGATGGCCTTGTTCGCCTGCTGGGCCACGGTCGAGTTGGTTGATTTGATCAACTCGATCGGGAAGTCGGCAGTCTTGAATGCCAGAGTGGTCGTCAGACTCCCAATCCAAGCAGTCAGTAAGATCGCGAAGCGCAAGCTCCGCGGCCGCGGCTGAAGCAACGCGGCCAACATCGCTTCAACTTCGCATCAGATTGCTACATTCAGGTCCCTATCAAGTTGGTAGGCTTGCCATTAAAGCCAGGCGCGGTGAAGGCACTCAACCCGCAAGGTGCAAACATGACAGTACTCAAACGCATCTGCTCTGCAAGGCATGGTGCTCGCAAAACAGTACCGGTACTGGCCTGCGCGTATGATGTTGGATTCGATGTGTCTCGCGCCTGGCAGCAGGCTCGAGCTCGTCAAGGCTATAGCGTTTTGCGCCGGCGTCGCCGAATGTATCGCTTGTCGTACAGTTGTGTGGGGCGACAATGGATTGCCGGGGCCTCTGTGTTGATGGCGAGCATGCTGGCACGCACACACTCAGCCAAAGCAGAGACCATGCATAGTGGTTACATGAACAAATAATTCAAGACAGGGGTGGGAAATAACGAGAACCTTCGTTACACACATGAAAATCGAAACTTGTTATGCACGGCAATATAAACGAGACATGCTCCGGATCAAGACATGTGCAACTTCATGCAAATTACGTAGAGCGGCACCACATGTATTGGAGCCTTTATGAAGTTGAAGTTGCTTTCACGAACAAATAGCTCACATACGCACGGCTAGCATTGACAAGAAGTTCGACCGTGCAAAGCTCTGGGAACACAGAATCTTCTGGATGCGTTCTGCAGCATCAACCTGCGGCACCAAAACGAACCGTCAGTCGTTTCCCTATACATCATGTTTGGGCCTATGACCTGCTTAGAAACAGTCTGTCGTGCATTTTCATACTGCGCAATGGCACTATGCCCTACGCGACTTTTTGGGTGATCCTGCACCATGTCGTATTCTCCCCTTTGTCACATGCTCAGGTATGGAGACCAAGTGCAGCTTAGAATTAGCATTAACGGATCATTAACGTTCAATCAAACAGGCGGCAGGACAACTCATCGCAAAGGCTACAGTGTCAAAGCTAGGAACAACAACTTATCACCTCGACCTGGCTCTTTCGAGTTTCAGGTTCGAGGGTTTATAAGCCCGAGTATGGTGTCTGCTGCTGGGTGTGCCGTGTGCTCGGACAGTAGAAACTTCGTTTTGGCATCTAGGCACTCTGTACTCTGTACTGGTTGAAGAGCGGTCAGCTTCGCTGCGAACCAATCACGAGCTTCCAGCTCATGCTCAATGCTGGTCCACTTTGACGAGCTCCATCACACCGAAGTTCGAGACTTCCCCGGTGAAGCCCTCATTGATGTACAAGTTGAGGTCTATGTTGTGGAGAACTCCACTGTGGATTGCATCCTAGCCAATCGGCATTGCTCGGAACGTCCCAGGTGTGAGCCAGGTACTGCAATGAGAAACAAATGTGCAAGCACGATGGTGGCCATCTCGGAAATTTGGGGGGGAAGAGTCGGGGACATGCGGCCTCGTCGTGGGTTATGTGGCTCTTCTTTGTGGCCCACTCTGTCGTCCACTACACCCGTCCGAATAACGGCTGGTGAATAGTCCGTCCGCCGAGTTTTCATATGTCAAGTGGGATGAGATTTTGGCTCAGGCCGGAAACTCGAGCATCACCAGCGCCGTGAGATAACAAGCTCCACGTTCTGTGCGATGGTGTCGGTGATGGCTGGAAGCGCCTCGAGAACTTCTGGAACCGATCCTTGCAGATGCGAAGAGGCCCAAAGGCAGTTGGACAAGGCTTGAGAATTGAAGTCCTGCACCTTGTAAGGAATCCGTTTGGCCAGGGCAGGAATTGCTCGCAGCACTTCAGGAGACCTGTCCTTAAGAGTTGCTGCTGCCCACAAGCAGTTGGATAAATGCTGCGAAGCCATCTTGTCCACCTTGCAGGGTATGTGTGTGGCCAAAGCCGGCACTGCTTCGAGAACTTCCGGCGACGAATCTCTCAAGGTCGCTGCGGCCCAAAGGCAATTTGACAAATCCTGCGGCAGCATGCGCTGCACCCGGTCTGCTGCAGAGCTTGCAAGGACAGGCACGGCGGTCAGCATGGATGGGGCCGAGTCCTGGAGGCATGCAGCAGCCCACAGGCAGTTGGACAAGGCCTGCACATCAAACTCTTGTAGCTCGGATTTGAGGATTCTGTCCATAAGGGCTGGTACGATATTGAGTACATCAGGAGCAGGTTGTTGCAAGACCGCAACTGCCCAGCAAACGCTGGAAAGCAACTGATGGTCCAAAAGCGCCAGCTTGCATGGCAAGAGCCGCACGATGCCGGGTACGGCCGATAGAATCTCCGGACGTGCTCGTTCCAGTTTTGCTACAGCCCAAAGACAGTTACACAGGTGCTGCGGCAACATCTTACCGACCTGGAGCTCAATGTACTTGGCCAAAGGTCGCACGGTAGACAGACCGTGAGGCGCGGAATCCCTCAGAACCGCAGCAGACCAAAGGCAGTTCGACAGTTGTTGCGGCGTCATGTTGGCAGCCTGGGCTGCTACTAGCTGGGACAGAGCCATCATCAAACAACAGCAACTATGCAGCTTAGGCAGGAGCAAACACTTGCCGACTGTAGCCAACGCACTTGTCTGGCGATGTGCTGAGCCAGTGGTGGCACAGCAACAAGGACTTCCGGCACTCGGTCCTTCAATTTTGCTGAAGCCCAGAAAGAGTTGGACAAGGCTTGGGCATCGAAGGAGACAGCTTGGTCTTTGACGGCTGCGGCCATGGCCGGCACGGCTTGCCTGAGCTGACTTGGGGTGAAGCTTATTAATACATATTTACCCACTAGCAGCTCCATCCCCCTGACGCAGTCAAGCCTCGAAAGCGGCGAGTCATCCCGGACCGTGGCAGCTGCCCACAGGCAAATCGCTAGCTCTTGCGGCTTCATACCTGCGAGTTTCCCCGGAAGATGTCGTGCCATGGCAGGAAGTATCTTCAACACTTCTGGTGCCACAGACTGAAGCTTGGCCGACGCCCACAGGCAGTTGGAAAGCCCTTGGGGGATCATGTCGTCCAGCTGGCTCCTTGTAACTTCCATAAGGCCGGGAAGAAGCTTGAGCAAGAAATGCAAACCAGGCTCATCTGACAGAACGGCCAGGCCCCAGTATACCGATGCCACATTGCGAGCAGGGAGGCCCTTTCTTATTATGACCCTCAGTCGTGATTTCAGCAGCGGCCATGCAGAGCTGTTGATATTCTCCCTCTTCAGCCGACCTTGCCTCTTAAACCTGGCAAGGCATGTCAATGCAGCTGATGCATGGACTGCATTAAAGCTAGAGTCCCGTACAGAATCCTTTATGGTGACGATCAGGGCTTCCGGTGACTTCGAAAGGGAGATGTGGGACGTCAGAACCTTGGACCATGTGCCACGAGAACGACCCTCGATGGAGGCTCGAACTCTGCACTGGGCACGCCATTTGCCACTCCTCCCACGTAATGGTGATGAAAGTGGTCCAACCAACTGTGGAATGCGTGGAGTGCACACACGAACCATGCAGCCGATCGGACATGCTGCCGCCAGCAATGCAGCAACTGACGAGATAACGACGCAACCTTTCGGTGCACATGGTGCAGCCACTGGGCGACAATCAGACCACCTAAACATGTTGGCAGCAGGTGCGAAAGACATGCTTAGAAGCACTTGTACCAGCACCACTGGCCCAAGCCATTGCCAAACGATGCAGCATCTTTGGTCCTTCGAGTCTATGAGACACCAGCTTGCTTTGCATTGGTTGTTGCGTCTACCCTACATGAAACACAGAAATCACCTTGCGGAGAGGGGCTTGAAGTTGTTCGAGCCAGTACGGCTACAAACAGTCTATGAGCCTATCTTGTGAACTTATTGAGCCGTTCCACGCAGTCACGCAAAGGCGTTCTGGTGGTAATGTCCTGGGTGTGCTTTGCTGCTCACCCAATTTCAGACTTATAGCTTATTTAGAACTGCCGGAAGCTGCTCTGGGCTGCTTGTGCATTCACCATCGGTAGCTGCAGTTTGTTGTTGCTGCTGCCGCTTGCTGCAACTGGCACAGCCAAAATATGCCTCAAAATGCAGCGTGTGCGGATTTTCGCTGGTTCGCTTCATGTGGACCTGGACTGACGACTAGTCATGACAAGCTTTTGGCTATGCTTCGCAACCTGCTGGCGATCTGCCTGATGCCTTTGAAGGACTCCGGGGAATAAAACTACCACAGCACACCTGGACCTGTTTATTGCTTTTGAACAATCCCGACACTCCGGGCTCCCCTCCTGCAGCTGCTGTTCTGCTGTGTCTGTCTAACGCGTAGAACTTCCCAACGGCACGGTCCCGCTACTGTTTGCATGTGACTACCAATGACATCCAGGCACTGCGATTGGAAAAAACCCACAATTGTCAACAGCATCGAGTGTCACATGATGCAGACGGAGCCAAACGGTCAATTCCCTGCAAGGAACATGGACATGTACTCCGATGACGATGCAAGCGCCTGCGTTCGCCGCAGCCGTGCCAACTTCCATGCAAAGGGGATTCCCAAGTGTTTGCCCGAGGTGTGATGCCTGCTGGCTCTGTGTTTCATCGTTCCTTCAAGTCCGGGAGCAACTCGGGAGTGGTGCAAGCTCCAAACTCAGTCATTCACAACGATATCTTCTAGACTCTAGATGCGGATTGATATGCAGCTCCACATGTGACGCTTGATGTGCTCGACCGCAGTGCCCTCGAGAATTGCATGAACCTGCATGTATCCATGATGCGTACATTCTCGGCAAAAGCTCATGCAAACGCCAGCCCGTGCCTGTGACAGGTTGTCGTAGCAGTAGCAGTAGGAGAACAGTAGCAGTAGCAGTGGTAGTCGTTGTAGTAGCAATTACGAAATTCTTCCGACTATTCATCCGATTCTTCTTCCTTCTGTTGTCACTATTACTGATACTGTGACGACTACTAGCATTGTTAGTATGTTGTTCGTAGTCTACTTAGTAGTAGTGGCAGCAGTTGTGGCAGCAGCCGCAGTAGCAGTAGCAGGAGGAGGGGCAGTAGCAATAGCAGGTGCAGCAGGAGCAGGAGCAGCAGCAGCAGCAGTAGGAGTACGACTGGGGGG